AAAAGCTCAAAAGCCAAAAATATTTTACCCTTTTTGTGCCTGACATGGTTTTTGAGGTGGGACAACCTCCAAATCTAACCACTTCTGACTAGGGATGCGCACTCGGCTTTCCCAAACCGAAAAAACCCCAAATAAATACCTTGTCGGTATTTATCAGTATTTTGAAAGCCGAATACAAAGGAAGAAAAATTTTCAGCTTCCAAATAGTTTCCCGAATTTGTTCAGCATTTTCAGCTTCGGGGTAGCCAAAAACCAACTTCCCTCTGTCTGTGCCTTCCCTAGTCAATTTCACTCCCCACCAGTCAGCTCTGCTGGGAGTGAAACTGACCAGGGAAATCCTCCTCTCTACCTTCCCTCCTCCAGCTCCCCCAGGGCTGCTGGAGAAGCAAAGGCAGAGAGCCCAGCCATGTTTAAATGCCTTTCTTTCCCTCTCCCAGTTCGTGGAGGAAAAGAAAGGCATCTAAACATGCCTGGGTTCCCTCCCTGCGCTTCTCCAGGGGCCCCACGGCTGCGGAGCAACTGCAGAGGGGCAGGCAAGGAGCCCAGGCATGCTTGCATGCCTGCCCTGTGCGCTTCCAGCCCCCCATGGCAGGGAGGCAGGGTGTGCACAGGGCAGGCATGAAATTATGGAAACATGCCTGGGCTCCCTTGCCTGCCCCTCTCCAGATGCCCCGCAGCCACGGAGCCCCTGGAGAAGCGCAGGGAGGGAACCCAGGCATGTTTAGATACCTTTCTCTCCCTCCTCAAGATCAGGGAGAGAAACATGCCTTGCTTTTTTCCTCCTCCCCCCCTGAGCTTCTCCACCTCTGCAGAGAAGCTCAGGGGGGGGGGGGAAGAGACATGTTTTTGCACTCCCAGCCCCCCCCCCCCCCGCCGCAGTGGGGAGGCTGGAAGCGCACAGGGCAGGCATGGAAACATGCCTGGGCTCCCTTGCCTTCTCTTCTCTAGCTACCCTGGGTCAGCTAGAGAAGGGGAGGCAGAAACAGGAGACTTTTGTCAGTTTCACTCCCCTGGGGGGTCTGATGGGAATGAAATTGACAAAGGAAGCCGAACTGGCTTCCAGAGGGAAAGAAGGTATTTTTACATGCCTCCCTTCCCTCATGTTGGGTATATCAGACCCAAAAATATATTTGGGAATACCAAATATTTCCCCAGTCCTGATACTTTACCGGTATCAGACTGGGGATATTCGGCATTTACCGATATTTTTGGGGGTCTGATATACCCGAACCCGAAAAATACCGTTGTTGTGGGGTTTTTTGCACAACCCTACTTCTGACTCAGGCAACACCACCAGAAGCTCTTTGGCCTTTACCTGCAATTTGGCCAACCTCTCTGCTGGTTCCCAGAACCGATGGAGCTGTCATGGCAACAGAGAGGACAACGGAAAACATTGGAAATCTTGAGATCTGGTGAATCTCTCTCTCTCCAGCATCCTTGAGAACAGCACTGGCAAGAATGACCTCTGGGATGTTCCACTTGTGCAAAGGTTCCACGTTGGATCCTTGGCAGTCAATGGACCTGGGGTGGCAGGGAAGGCCTTTCTCTACCTAACAACCTGGAGTTCCTCTGTCAATCAGAGCGCGGAATACGGAGCGGCATGAAGCAATGGGCAGATTCGGCATAAGGCAGCTCTGTACATTTGATCCCATTCTTTCTTCTGCTCCCAAAGGTAAAAAAAAAGGTGGAAGTCTTCTCATCGGGAATTTATTGAGGAAAACAATCAATTTCAACCTAAAACCTACCGTCATCTAAATCAAACTTCAACAACATGGTGAATCTAGCCATTTAAAATTCTCCTCTTGTCACCTGAGCAACCCTAAGGCAGGTAATGTTGGTTGAAAACAGTATAAAATGCAGGCATTAAAACATCGTAAATGGTAAAAATGTACTGTTCTCAGTGCCAGCAAACTAGATTTGTTTCTCCAGGGGCTGCACGGGTTTTTCAACAGGGCTTCTAGGAAGCATTTTAACTTCCTTTTCATCTGCCCTGGGCCCATCGCTTTCCTAGGCAGAGGATGGGGGGGGGGAGCTGAAGACGGAGGGGCACATGAATGCAGGTTGGCTATTTGGTCAGGAAGGAGAGAAGAAAGCATGAAAGAGGAGGGACTATGGGGTCTGTCAGGAATGGGAAATATATGGGGGATAGCGGGGGAGGCAGGAATGAGAGGCACCCCAAAAGTCCTTGCAGGTTCCCGTTAGTAAATTAATACATACAGAAGCCCTGATATTTCTGCACCTATCAAGCAACTCTCTTTGAAGACGCCTCCCCCACAAAGATTTCATCCTTAAAACTATCTTGCAAGGTGAGTTTGCCTGAAAATGTGACTAGCTAAGGCATCGCAAGGGCTTCCAGGCCTACTGTTGATCTGAACCCAGATCCACCAAGCCACAAACCAACACTCTTGGCTCTCGAACTTAACTGACCTACTTCATGGATGAGGGCAAACTGGGTTGGGTGCACTCATGGGGATCAGCCATGGCCACAAGTCCGAATCTCAAGCGTCTGGAAGAGGGTTTCTTATTTAGAACTGCTATACAATTGAAAAAAGACATGCCACACTAACCTTTGACACATTTAATAAAGCCCAAGTCAGTAAGAACCCCCCCACAAAGCATATTATTATAACTATTTAGCATATGGCAGAGTCACACACAGGAAGCATATCATAATATAAAATACAGAATTCAGTTGATACAACAGGTATGCAGACCAATTGGGCAATCCCCTTAAATATAAATCTCTAAATTTTCGATCCACTCAGTCACAGCTGGGGAGAGTTCAAAGAGCACACAAAGCAAAGAAAGCAAAGTCTAATTTACCTTATCTCTCCTTATATATATTTGAGTTTCCATGTCCCTCTTGCCTGAACGTTCCATACGCCCCCCACAGCCTTTGGCTGCCTGATGTGTCGCTCACTAGGGGCCTCTACCCATTAGTGGCTGCGTTACCTCAGTCCTGCCCTTCCCTTTCATCTCGCGCAGTGACAGAAGACGACGAGGTTTCTGCTGGGACAAAAGTAAAACTGCACCACTTGAAGCAAAACTTTGCTCCAGCCTCCAACGAGCTGCTTACGGGGGGAAGGGAAGCGCAGCCAAGCCAGGAGGCCCCTTTCGTCACCCAGGCTGCTTGCCTGTCCCTCACTCACTGCTGGTGCACAGTCTCGCAGCCGCACACACACGCCACATGGAGCAACGCCCGCACACAGCTCTTGCTCCCGCCCCGCCTGCTGCTTCCCTTTACTCGGCTGCCTGCACTCCCGCTTTCCATAGCGCCTCTGCGGCCAATGTGAATCTCCTCCCGGGCCAGCCCATCCTGGAAGGCACCACTTCTTCGCTCGAAGCCGCTGACCTCGGAGCGCGCCTGGCAAACTGATACTAAAAAGACTCCTCGAGCCCGGGCCACTCGTCCACAGCCTATTTCTAGAGCTTGTTGTCTCCATTTCCACAAGGGGCCTTCTTCCTAGTAGAAACAATATCATCCTTAATGAGCTGTGACTGTCCCTCAGCTGAGTTTTGTTTTCTTTGAGTCATAAAGAAACATTTAATCTAGGGATGCCAACTGCCTCGAGGGGAAAAGTGTCCCTTTAATGGGATGCTATTTATCTTTACAGATACCCATTTCCACACACATTAAGCCTCTGGGAATGAGGGAGGATATTATTTCCTTCGGGCCGTCGACCAACTCTAATGCAGATACCTCGCCAAGATAAAGTAAAGAGACAGACAGAGAATTTTTTCAGTTGGTGCCGTTAAAGCACAATTTCAATGGAGGAATCGAAGGGGGGCTCTGAGGAGGATGTCCCAGTCATTTCCAGCACATACAAAAGTGGTGGCAGTGGTGGTGTTCAGTGCAGGAGGAGGGAATCCTACTCCCTCCTGATTCTCTCTATGAGAATCTGGGGGTGGGGTGGGAAGGACAACTTGGATTGGGGAATTTGTGCCCCGCAAGGTTCACCTGCCAACTCCATGAATACTGGTACATTTCAACAATAGTGGTTGATGTGGAGGAGTTGCTGGGTTAGGGGGACACAACCTTTCACTTTCACCCCAAAATAATCCTTCTGCCAGAATGCCTTGGGTTTCAAAGTGGTGAGACCCCCCCAAAAAAATGCTCACAGCAGGCTGGACTGGGGAGGGTATGTCTCTCTAGAACTGCTTCTCAGATAAAAATGTTTGTGAATTAAGGATGCCAGTTGGTCACACTATGGCTATAAGAATAGGAGAGAGGCTATAAATATCTGTTACCCTCTCAAGTTGTCTATCCCTTCATAGAATTTGGGAAGGGAACTGTTGCTGGTTTGGAGATGCCAGAGTTAGAATGGCAGATAACCTGAAGTGGCAAATTTCACAAAGGAGGGGGGAAACGAAACAGGCCTTTCTTTGTGTAACTACGTTCTCAGCCTTTTGGAACCTCTAGTGCCAGGACGTTTGAAGAAACTCATCAGAACCAGCTATAGGAAAGTTTCACCCTTGTATGGATTTTCTGAGGAACCTGAAGATTGGACAAAGCTCTTTCCACAGTCGAAGAATTTATAACATATCCTCCTGGTTAGCGTAAGTTTTCTGTGTAGATTCAGCCTTCTTACAGCAGTTTATATCTCTTCAGTGCTTTGTATGGTCTGTGGATGACTTTTAGGTGTGAAATGTTGTAATAGATTTGTGCTGGTTTTATACCAAATAAACTAACTGACTGACTGAGTTGTGAAATAGGAGAAAAGCTATTTTCACAACTAAGCAGTTACATTGTTTCTCCTTGTGTGGATTTCTCATTCCAGTAGAAGAGTGTCACTCTGACTGAATCTCTTTCCAGGCTTTGAGCATTCAGAAAGTTTCCCACATGTGCGAGTTCTCTGATGCTGTTGAAGATTACCACTCTGACTGAATCTCTTTCCACACCCAGAGCATTCAAAAGGTTTCTCCCCTGTGTGGATTCTCTGATGCTGTTGAAGTTTATCACTCCGACAGAATCTCTTTCCACACTCTGAGCATTCAAAAGGTTTTTCCCCAGTGTGGGTTCTTTGGTGCTTCCGAAGAGTACCACTGTCACGGAATCTCTTTCTGCACTCTGAGCATTCAAAAGGTTTCTCCCCTGTGTGGGTTCTTCGATGCAGGTGAAGATGGCCACTCTCACGGAATCTCTTTCCACACTCTGAGCATTCATAAGGTTTTTCCCCAGTGTGGGTTCTTTGGTGCTTCGGAAGACTACCACGGTCACTGAACTTCTTGCCACACTCTGAACATTCAAAAGGTTTCTCCCCTGTGTGGGTTCTTTGGTGCTTCGGAAGACTACCACGGTCACTGAACTTCTTGCCACACTCTGAGCATTCATAAGGTTTTTCCCCAGTGTGGGTTCTTTGGTGCTTCGGAAGACTACCACGGTCACTGAACTTCTTGCCACACTCTGAGCATTCATAAGGTTTTTCCCCAGTGTGGGTTCTTTGGTGCTTCGGAAGACTACCACGGTCACTGAACTTCTTGCCACACTCTGAGCATTCAAAAGCTTTCTCCCCTGTGTGGGTTCTCTGATGCTGCTGAAGGGTGCGACTCCTACTGAATTTCTTTCCACACTCATAGCATTCAAAAGGTTTCTCCCCTGTGTGGGTTCTCTGATGCCGTTGAAGATTACCTCTCTGACTGAATCGCTTTCCACACTCAGAGCATTCAAAAGGTTTCTCCCCTGTGTGGGTTCTTCGATGGAGGTGAAGATGGCTACTCATACAGAATTTCTTTTCACACTGTGAGCATTCAAAATTTTTTCCCCCTGTGTGGGATCTTTGGTGCTTCTGAAGGGTGCCACTGTCACTGAATCTCTTTCCACACTCTAAGCACTCAAAAGGTTTCTCCCCTGTGTGGGTTCTCTGATGCTGCTGAAGATGGCTACTACTACTGAATCTCTGTCCACACTCTGAGCATTCAAAAGGTTTCTCCCCTGTGTGGGTTCTCTGATGCTGCTGAAGATGGCTACTACTACTGAATCTCTGTCCACACTCTGAGCATTCAAAAGGTTTCTCCCCTGTGTGGGTTCTCTGATGCTGCTGAAGATGGCAGCTCTGACTGAACCTCTTTCCACACTCTGAGCATTCAAAAGGTTTCTCTCCCGTGTGGGTTCTCTGATGCAGTTGAAGACTGCTACTGTAACTGAATCTCTTTCCACACTCTGAGCATTCAAAAGGTTTCTCCCCTGTGTGGGTTCTCTGATGCAGTTGAAGACTGCTACTGTGACTGAATCTCTTTCCACACTCTGAGCATTCAAAAGGTTTCTCCCCTGTGTGGGTTATCTGATGCTGCTGAAGATGGCCATTCTGACTGAACCTCTTTCCACATTCTGAGCATTCAAAAGGTTTCTCCCCAGTGTGGGTTCTGTAATGGCGTTGAAGATTGCCACTCTGACTGAATCTCTTTCCACACTCTGAGCATTCAAAAGGTTTCTCCCCTGTGTAGCTTCTCTGATGCCATTTAAGATTCCTCCTCACACTGAATCTCTTTCTATAATCTGAGCATTCAAAAGGTTTCCCGATTCTGTGTATTCTTTGGTTTACAAAGAGCTGTGATCTGTTTTTGAAGTACTTTTCACACTGAATTGATTTACTTGCCTTCATTATCCTGTGCCTCAGAATATGTAGATTATTCAGTCTTCCATCTCCCTTCTCAACCATATGACAGCAATTCTTTCTCATCGGTCTGCCTCGATAGCTGACATTTTCTTTCAAGTCTTCAGTTTTAACTTTATCTGGCATTTGCTGATGAAGATCTGGCATTTGCTGATGAAGTTCCTTTTCCCCTTGATTCCTCTGATCATCCTCTGCTGGAGTAAAGACAGAGATCTTGTTAGCACCTGGGAGGGCTGGGAAGGTCGAAAGACATCTGTTTCACTGCAGCAGATTAGGATTGATGGCCCTTTGGCCTTGTCCAGCTTGGCTGATCTTAACCACCCCTCCACCTTTCCCCAGAGTATCCGCTCAAGTGCCACAACTGAGCTCTTGCCCACAAGGACCTTCTAAGCCTCCAGATTTCAGGCCCTCCTTCCTTTCCCTTTTGTATGACTGTACGAAATGTTGCTCAGAAGTGAATCAGAAATCCCCCGTAGCACTTCCTTGCCTTTTCCCGTAACATAACCGTGAAGGATACTCACTCTCATCCAGCTCATTTGGAAAGGAAATTTGCTCTTGGGATCCTCCTGAGGAAATCTTCAGCCTTTCTTCAGATGCAAGGCCGCGGTCTGTCTCCACCGTAGTTTCTCTCATACACCTGCCTTTGATTGCAGAGAGAAAGAGAGAGAGAATGTGATGGGGAAGGAAAAGACTTTCAAGAATTCTTCTGAAAGGATGAAACGGTGGTGTCAGGTCCCCACAGCAACAATGAAGTGCACACTTATAGAAAGGTTTTACTTTTATTGAAGCGGAAGGTGCATTGACAGGATCACTGTTAGGAATGACGTGAAATCAAAAAGCATGGCAGGTTATAGTGCATTCAAACCGGTGAGGCCCAATTGCGGGAGTTCCCGCGCGCACCATTAGGCCTGAGAAACTAATGGTACTAATAAGCATAACTCTTCCCACGGCAACTCCGTGCGATAACCAAAGCAACTTATCCAGCGGCTCTCCTCCTGCGGCCTTGAGAGATACATGTTGCTGCTGCAAAGCAAGCGTAAGGAAAGGAATGCGCATGAAAGCGAAAGTAGAAAACATTTGGCAGCTTGCTGACAGGTGGTCAAGATCAAAGCCCACAATCCCAACCAGTATAAAGGGAATACATCTGTGTGGCAAAGCATCTTAGTTTCCCCAAGGGTTTACATGATTATTAAGTGGCCTGGTTTGACTTTCAGGCGTTTGTGATTCGAGTCTCTCTGCGGCTATCATTCTGATACTTGTCAAGGCCACTGGTTGGTCGCGAGAACCTCTATCCAGTTGTGTAGCCAGGAGGGAGAGGGGATTAAGAGGGTGCTGGCAGCCTCTGGAAAATTCCATCAAGGAGGACCCTTGATTGGGGCGTTAGGACCCAAGGAAGACCCTTGATTGGGGCGTTAGGACCACCTGACCCTAGGAGGCAGAAAGTATAATACACGTATAGACAAGAGGGAAGCCATGCTAACTTTCTGCTCATGCCGTGCTAGCATGTCTTATGTTGAAATCCTTAACAAACCTCTACATATTTTAAAAGGGGGTCTGCTTTACTTGTGTGCTCTTGACAGGATCGTTTCCAGATCACAGGCAGAGCAGATGTCTGTGATCTCATTGAGAGAGAAGGGAGTCTTCGAAAGGTTAGAAACACAGAAATGAAGATCTGGGCCCTTCCAGAGTCTTTCTAAGGGCCTCCCATCCCGACCTTTGCCTCAGGCCACAACACCTTTTCTGGCTTGGGTGATGGCCACAACACTGGCCTCTGTTGCCCCAGGGCAAGAACACTCCCAGGAACACATGAACCTGCCTCATACTGAATCCGACCCTTGGTCCATTGAAGTCAGTGTTGCCTACTCAGTCTGCCAGTGCCTCTCTAGGGTCTCAGGCAGAAGTCTTTCACATCACCTCCTATCTGATCCTTTTTACTGGAAATCCTGGGGATTGAACCTGGGACCTTTTACATGCCAAGCAGATGCTCTGCCAGGGAGCCACAGGCCCCCCCCCCCCAAGTAGTGGGACAGTCTTCAAAACTGTGAATAGCTGTTCAATATTTTGATTCATGCCTCCTCACAATGGCAGAAATTTGCACCTTTGGCACCAAGGAAAGATCCTTACCCAGAAAGGCCACATTCTCATAGTTCTCCAGCATGACTTCCCTGTACAGAGCTCTTTGTCCCGGATCCAGCAGGGCCCATTCTGCCTCAGAGAAATCGATGGACACCTCCTCAAAGGAAAAGGGACCCTGAAAGAAAAAGCAGGTTCCCTCCTCACAGATCACACCAGGCAGAGATGGCACCCTGGAAGGGAGCAGACTGTGGAGGAATAGGATGTCAGGCTTTGACGGAGTAACGGGAATGGTGTTCAAAGGAACTCTCGCCCAGACGCCTCATAGAAACTGCAGGAGCAAAAGTTCCCCTGAGAAAGGAAGAGATACCTGGGCTGTCCTCCCTGCTGATCTCATTGTGGCAGAAAAATCAACAAGCCAGGGGCATTTCTGAATAACAGCCTGGATTGGCTGAGGCCTCTCTGTTCGGTTCCTCTCCCATAAGGCTTTGCAGGCTTAGCTACTGTCATCTCTCAAGCCTCTCTCTAGCCTGACAAGGCACTCTGCTCCCAAAAGAATGGTTTTCATTTATCTAGGTCTACCATTTCTCCCTCATACTGTCTCAAAGACTCCTGTTGAGAAGGTTTGTAGCTTCTGACCTGCAACATACTTGCTGAAGGAGGTGTCTGTGCTTCCAATAAGGTCACAGTAAAGTTTACACATAACATCCTTGACTGTCTAGGGCAACTTGGGTGTGAGTTCAAGGTGAATATTGTTCTTTTTATTTTGATATTCTTCTACTAAAAGTGTGTTAACTCCATGTGGGCTGAACCTGTGGCTACTGAGGGTATAAATTGGTGAAGCCTTCTTTGCACTGGGCTGGTCTTCAATCAGCTATCTGAGAGCTCTTGTTGTTGACTAGACTAGAACACTGTCTTTCACACTAGTGCACTAGGTTTGTGTTGAAGTATTCTGTGCTGAATATCGCAACGTTATGTTTTCATCCTAAAAGAGTAGTAAGTGCTAATGTGCTTTCTGTCCTTATATTGTAAATAACCGGGTTTTGTTTGAGAACTATGGTCTCTCTCTGTTGATTCAGTCACTCCCTTGCCAGTCTCCACCCAAGCAATGAAAGAACTCTAGGGGAACGGGAGGGTCCCAGGAAAACAGTCCGGGGGTCTTATAATACTGTAACACTCACCTCTCCTACATGGACTGGAGGTACGGCAGCCACTTCCACACCTCTGAAAAGATGTCGGCTCAACAGCATCTCTTCACTGCCTGTTCCTGAGACAAAGGAGGAAGGAAGGGTGTTTGCTTGCTTGTTTCCTCCTTCACACAACCGCTACCCAGGGTTGTGAAACCTTACCCTGTGTACACGCAACACATTTTTAAAGATTTTTTACTGAATTCTGGGAGAGGTGGAAGAGAAGTACATGGTACCCCATGAGCCACAGGGATTATGAATGTGGCTAACATATCTCAGACTTCTATGAGACTTGTGTTTGCTCTGCGGGGAGGGGAAAACGTTGCGTGACACGTTGCCGTCTCACATTCGGACCAGACATGACTTGAGCGCATCTGGAGACTCGAGGGGAATAGGAGTGAGTTTTCAGAGTGTCTCTGGGCATGCTCACTTCCCAACCAGGTTTTCAATCAGATGTAACATCAAGATGACATCACATCTGTCCCAAGCCCCTCCCAAAAGCTCCTGGGAGTGCCCGGTCATAGCCTGACATCCTTTCCCCAGCATCCTTATTTCATACAGCTGCATGCCAGAGGCCCCTTGGAGCACAGGCACAGAAGCCAGATTCTCCCAGTATTATTGGCCCTGAGGAACTGGCTTTCAGAGCTCCGCTGCCCAAGAAGGTGGAGGCTTCCTCTATCTACCAGGCTGAAGAGCTCTGCCGAGGTTGGTCGACCTCCCCCCACCCCCCCGCAACTTGATTTCTTTTTATGAAAGGATGGTGAGATATGAACTTAATTAACGGGAGAAATCGCCCTCCAGGAATGTGTCTGATCTCCTTTTGGAGGCATCAGAGTGAGTGGACACTGAGTGCCGCAAATGGACTCTTTGTTGTGTGTAGAACGATTTTTCTCCTGACCTGAATTCTTTACCCATCACATTCACAGGGTGCTCGAATTGCATGCAGGCACAAGGGGTCCTTACCAAAGGAGACGGGGTCTTGGGCACGCTCCACGGTCTGCGCTCTCTGCCCTTGCTCCAAGGAAGCTCCTTCTGCTTCAGGGATTGTAGCTTCCATCTTCAGGGATGGTTCCAACATCTGAAACAGCAGTGAGGGAGAGGGGTAAGAGATGGAATGGAAAAGAGACCCAGGAATGGATCCTGCCCCACTCCCAGACTCTGCACCCTTCCATCAGCAGACCCCCTGAGTTATCTGGAGGAATCAGAAATTCTCTCGTAGAAGAGGCTGCTGAAGGAGACCATGAAATCACCGACTTGGATGGTTAAAAGTTGGGCAATTATCTGGCACGGAAACTTTAGGATAAGGCCCAATATCGTTCCTTGAAATGGACACACCTGGAGGAAACCCCCTCACCTGGTCTGCCTGCCTCTTCTCCTCTGCCTGACTCAGGGGGAAACCGTCCGCTGGGACCACCGCCTGGGAACTGGTCTCCGGCCCACACCCTCTGACCCAGCCCTGCATTTCCTGGGGCAGGGCAGGAGAGTCAGGAACTGCTCCAGGATCACCAGGTCCAGGATCTGCTTCCTAAAGTGCTGGATATTTATTTTCCCCATGTATTTCAAATATCCTAAGGGGGTGAAGCGCGTATGGTCTTCTGGTCATTTCAAATATCCTAAGGGGGTGAAGCGCGTATGGTCTTCTGGTCAACTGTATATGTGAAACTATCAGCTCTGTGTGCCAAACGTTTTAATATTTGGATCATTTCTCTTAACCTATTTTATCTTTTACTATTGTGTAACAAGGTAAAGGTAAAGGTTCCCTTGCTCGAAAGCCAGTCGAGTCCGACTCTAGGGTTGCGGTGCTCATCTCCGTTTCCAAGCCGAAGAGCCAGCGCTGTCCGAAGACGTTTCCGTGGTCATGTGGCCGGCATGACTAAACACCAAGGCGCAGGGAACGCTGTTACCTTCCCACCCAGGGGTACCGATTTATCTACTTGCAATTTCTTGCTTTCGAACTGTCAGGTTGGCAGGAGCTGGAACTAGAGATGGGAGCTCACTCCGTCATGCGGCGCACTCGGGTCTCGAACCACTGAACTACCGACCTTCCACAGACTGCAGTTCAGCCTCTTAACCACTTGAGCCACCGCAGCTCCTTACTATTGTGTACATCATAATAATATTTGTGTTTTTATAATAGCTTATTTTGTTAGCTTGACCCTCATATATCACAGCCATATTTTGGGCTGAGTCCCTCCCCCCCTTTTTTCTCTCTGTCTCCGGCCCACATCTTCTGACACAGCACTGGGTCAAGCCAGAAGCCCCTGTGTTCCCACCACCCTAGGAGGGAGGGCGTCTCGTGGAGGTTTTTATACCCCACTCTCTTCTGCCTTAAGGCGTCTGAAAGCGGCTTACAATCCCCTTCCTTCACCCGCCCCACAACAGGCACCACTTTGTCAGGTAGGTGGGGCTGAGAGAGTTTTGGGAGAACCGGGACTGGACCGAGGTCACCCGGCGGCTTCAGGTGGAGGAGGAGGAGGAGTGGGGAATCGAACTCGGCTCTCCAGAGGTTCTGAAGCCAATCTGGGTATCAGATCCGTTCCAAACTTTGGGTATCAGAGGAAGCAGACTTTCAAAAAAAGAAGATGTACTCTGACCCCACAATGGGCTGCCCAAGGAGGTCAAGGACATCTTCCTTAAAGAGGTTTCCAAGCCAAGAGTTGGGTATCAGATCAGTTCCAGATCCCCCGGCCTCAAGCAGAGGACAGGACCAGTGTTCCCTCTAAGCTGAGTCTGGTGTGAGCCAGCTCACAGTTTTTTAGGCTCCGGCTCACACAGTTTTGTCTTAGCCCAGGAAGGAGGGCTCCGGAGTGAACTAATTGATGCAGCAGCCAAATCACACAACTTTAATGCCAGTAGCTCACAAAGTAGAATTTTTGTTCACAAGACTCCACCGCTTAGAGGGGACGTTGGGTCACAGGACTATCAACTCCGTTCTTGTTCAACAAAAAGAAGATACAAACACAATTCCTTTTTTAAAAGGCAGATGAGCTTTAGGGGTCCTTCGACGGCTTTGTTTCTACAATGCAGAAATCTCTTCGATGAAGATAATGAAAAATCATAAGTCTGGAAGTCAAACCTTTCCCCTTCTCACCCCATACGACACAGATACTCACCAGGTTCCCCTTTGGCCCGTGCGGCCCATCCACGCCACACGTGGCCTGCCGAGACAAGGACAGACAGACAGACATGGTGGTTAGTGGCAGAACTAAGGGGAGGTTGAAGCTCTCAGAGACGGCAGAACCCCTCCCCAGGACTTACCGGTGGGCCTGCGACTCCTGGGGGCCCTTTGGGGCCAAGAGTCTGCCTTGCACGACCTTAGCGCTGAGCCGTGTCCCCCCCAACCCCAGCTCGTGTCCCGCCAGGCTTCTCGAGGCCCCGGGTCTTCCTTCTCCACGCCCTGCCTGTGTCTCTCCCGGCTCCGCTCTGCTCAAGACACACCCGCTCGACCCCTCGACAAGATCACTGGGCCAGTCTGGCTTCAGGCTCAGCTCTTGAGCGTCTCCAGTGAGCTTTGCACAACCTGAGCTGCCGGGCTCCCTCCTGGCACTCGAGAGAGAGAGAGAGGAAGCCTCTGGGCGGGGGGCCGATGTCCCATGCTGCAGGAGCAGAACACAATGAACAGGGCGACCTTCGAGATCTAAATTAGGTGTGCCATATTTCTTCCTAAAGTGCTGGATGTTCACTTTCCCCATGTATTTCAATTGTGGCTGTAGTATTGTCTCCAAAAGCCTCTGTGCCATGAAGACTTCCTTGAATACATGAAAGACGGGACTGTGAATCTTCCACATGGCCTGAAAAGACACGTCTGTCTCTCAGGGCTCGTGGGACTAAAATGGCCCTCTGTAAAACAGGGTGGGGGTCATCAGGAGAGCCCCCATTGCACGGCGCAGCCCAGAGACACACGTTTTATCTCCTTGGGTGCTATTCAGGAGGACACGGCCCCGATCCTCTGCATTTTCAGGAGCTTGTGGTACAGGCGCACCGCCCCTGGGCCACTGCTGGGCCACTGAGCTGCGCCATCTTTCCCAGAATCCTTTGCAGGCACCGAAGGCAGGGTGGCACCTACCGGCTCTCCAGGAAGCCCACACGGTCCCATTTCTCCGTCGTCCCCCTAAGAGGAAAGAAAAGGCTCTCCATGTCCGCTAAGGGGGGGGGGGGAATTCAGCTCAGAGAGGGGCCCCTCCCACCACCAGAACAGCTGCACTATTTAATTGGGCCTGAGACCCTGACGAGGCACCTTGCTTCTCAGCCCAAGGACCTCCGTTTTCAAGGGGGAAACCTGAGCGCCTTCTTCTCAAGATGAGACTCCGAGTGAAGGGCGGGGTATAAATCCAATCTCTTCTCTTCTTCTTCTTCTACTGCATACATTAGATTGTGTTTCCTCTAAGCTGAGTTAGTGTGAGCAAGCTCAAAGTTTTTTAGCCTCTGGCTCACACTTTGTTGTCTTGGTTCAGGATGGAGGGCTCCAGAGCAAACTAATTTATGCAGCAGCCAAACTGCTGGCTAAGCGGACACTGAGATACCTTCTTTCTTTTTATGGGGATGAGTGAGAAGTGGGACCGGGTGGGCTTCCCAGGGAACCGGTAGGTGCCCCCCTGCCCTTGGTGCCTGCAGGGGATTCTGGGAAAGATGGCGCAGCTCAAGACTGAGCGGTGGCCCAAGTGCTGTTTGCCTGTACCACAAGCTCCTGAAAATGCAGAGGATCGGGGCCGTGTTCTCCCGAACAGCACCCGAGGAGAGAAAACGTGTGTCTCTGGGCTGCACCGTCCATGGGGGCTCTCCTGACGAAACCCCACCCTTTTGTTCTACAGAGGCCCATTTTAGTCCCGCGAGCCCTGAGAGACAGAAGGGGGAAGGGTGTCTGACTCCAGCCCCCCCAACTTCCCCTCCTCCCCTCCCCCGCCAGACTCACCCGGGGGTTCGGCTGCAGGAGGACCTGAGCTTTGGCTTCCCGGGCGGACCCCCCCAGCCCCTCGTCCTCTTGGCCGCTCTCAAAGCCGAACTGGGGGGAGTAGGAGGAAGCGTCATCAGATTCCCTGGAGACAAACCCCTTTAGGGTCACATCCCCCCCCCCCACATCCCATTCCCTGTGTGTGCTTTGCAGTGAGGCCCATGCAGGCAGAGGGGCTAAGGATGCCAACCCCCAGGAGGCACCTGGAAATCTCCCGCCACTACAATTGACCTCCAGAAAACCAGGATCTTTTCCCCTTGAGAAAATGGCTGCTTTGCAAGGTGGACTCTGGCCGGGAGACGTCCAGAGCCATGATGTGCCCCATGCTGAGTGAGACTCCGGGTGTTCAAGGGACACCCTCCGCAGCCGCCTTCCCCCCTCAGTCAGGCCCTGCTTATACCTCAGGACTGCCCCCTCTGAGTGGGGAGGCACCTCCAGGGACTTTTAACTGGCACTGCTGCGTGGGGGTGAGCCCGGGATCTCCAGTGGACAAAACGTCCTTGTGGAAGGGGTGGGGGGGGGGACTAACTCTCTGAATGCCAGGGCCAGGAGGCAGCCTCAGGGGAAGGCCTTGGCCTCTGTGCCCCCATTGTTAGCCCTCCAGAGGAGCTGGTTCGCTGCTGTGTGAGTCTGGAGGCTGGACCCTCCCTGGTCTGACCCAGCAGGGCTCTTCTTCCCAACACTCATGGCACGGGCTTACCTTCTCTGCCAGGCGGGCTCCTTGGTGTGAGGGCAGGGGGGCATTCCGACTGGAGCGTCTGCCACCATCCAAAGGACGTCGATGGGGCTTCTCTCCCGTGTGGCTCTTCCGGTGTATGAGGAGGTCAGAATGACAAGGATACGTTCTCCCACACTGCGAGCACTTATAGACCCGCTCTCCTATGTGAGTCCTCTCATGCACCATGAAGGCCGAAGTCCCTCGAAATGTCTGCCCGCAGTAAGAACAAATGTATGTTTTTTCCGCCATGTGCAGGTTCTCGACTTAAGTCCGTGCCCTGACAGACGTTGTTTCCACTGTCTTGGTCCCTCTGTGTCCTTTTACGCCTCAAGAATCTCTCACCCGACTCTCAACTTCCAGCACTTGCCTCCCGGACCAAGGCTAGCTTAGGGTTTTCCCTCCACAAGATCATTCAAATGACTTTGTGTCCCCAGCTGAATTTCAGGGCCCCCCCAAACAAATCCGTTAAGATCCTTCTAGCGGTCGATCACCGATGGCCACCCGCTTAGCTCCCTTCTGCAAATGCTCCTCCTCCTCACAGTCCAGCACTCCGATACTCGATCCTGGAAGAAAATTACGACATCATGAGCAACAGTCCCCCACAGCAGTGACGACCCCTCATCTCTCCCAATTCAGGACTGAACCAGGGTGCGCCGCAGTGGCTGAGAGTGTCAGACCTGGACCAGAAGCACATCTCTGTGCAAAGATATTCCCCTCTTAAGCCCGAGGATTTCTATTTAGGTAGACTAGACTATCGCTGCAGAGGACGGCCCTGTGAGGCGGAATTCGGACGTCACAACAAACCAGGACTTGTTTAAGCCACAGTTGGTGCGACACTCTCCAGGTAGCCTCCCAGATGGAAGTAGCGAGATCCCAATTTGCTCATAAACCCAGGTTTCTCTGCTTCCTGTCTACCCCCAGGATGCCACCTCTATGGTCGGGGGTGACTTGAAAAATGGGAACCGGAGAATTCAGACGTCACCTCAGGCCACAATTAGGAGAAGCCACAATTAACAAACCAGCTACAAGCCTACTTTGAAATCCTGTTTTGACGCATACCAACAAGCTGTCATTTGTTGTGTCGTCTGCACTCAGATGTTAGGGAAACGCTGAGGCTCAGCCGTAGACCACCTGCTTTGTGTGTAGACGGTCCCCAGTTCAATCGCTGGAATCTAGCAGGTGATGAGAAAGACCTACATCCCAGACCCTGGAGAGCCACCACCAGTCTGAGCAGACAAGAATGACCGTGATAGAATGACCGTGATAGATCCACGGTTCCCCCCCCCCGCCCCAGTAGTGTTTCTGATTTCCAATATGCTGAAAGACAATGGAATTATCTACCACCACCACCACCCCAGTAGAGGTTGACTGGTTTGAAGGAGACAAGATCTGGGTCTCAAATCATGCTGAGATGCAACAGGCAGCCTCCTTTGAAGGTGGGTGCTATGAACCCATGGGGCCCCTTAAATTAATTCCCTCTCAGTATGTCTAGTAAATCTTGGCACACAGTTTGGAACTGATCTGATGCAGGAGGGTAAAGCCCAGTTTTATTCCCAAGGAATGGATTTCTGGGTTCAAGAGAAAGAAAGAAAGGATGGAAGGAAGGAAGGAAGGAAGGAAGGAAGGAAGGAAGGACAGGATTTTTTTGTATGACAGAAGCATTTTCAGGCCACCTTCAGTCAATGTAAACAGTTTTGCCTGTCTTCAGATCTTTTTCATTTCAGGTGGGTAGCCGTGTTGGCAGAACAAAGGTTTGAGCCCACTGGCACCTTTAAGACCAACACAGTTTTATTCAAGGTATTAGCTGTTGTGGGCATGCCCGCTTCTCCAGATACTTATACCTTGAATAAAATGGTGTTGGTCTTAAAGGTGCCAGTGGGCTCAGACTTCGTTTTGCAGTTCAGTTCGCTGCCCTCCTTAGATATTCTGTTTCTGTCCCCCACCCTGTAACATCCTAGAACCCAACATTTGTTTTCTCGCTTGGCGTCCCAAACAGACAATGCCAGCAGCGTTCCCTCTAAGCTGAGTTCAGTGTGAGCTGTCTCACAGTTTCTTAGCCTCCGGCTCACACATTTCTGCCTTAGCTCCGGTAGGAGGGCTCCAGCACAAACCAATGTAGGCAGCAGCCAAAATCGCTGGCTCACAACTTTAATGCCAGGAGGTCACAAAGTAGAACTTTTGCTCTCAAAGTCTCCAAGGCTGAGAGGGCTGCACTGGTCTCCAGTGGCCATTCAGTGAGGGAGGATCTTTGACCGATGCTGCTCCCTCTAAGCTGTGGAGACTGGCGAGGGGAAATTTTGCTTTGTGCTCACACTCACTCAGCTTAGAGGGAACACTGGATCTGACCCCCTCCAACCCACAGCCCCCAACCAGAGGGCAAGGTCCGCCCTGCCAAGGCAGGGCAGCAGACAGACCCAGGAGGCGCCACAAGGACGAGGCCCGACCTTTGACCACGTGGAACAGATGGTTCCAAACTAGTTAAAGGTAAAGGTTCCCTTGCTCAAAAGCCAGTCTAATCTGACTCTAGGGTTGCGGTGCTCATCTCCGTTTCAGAGCCGAAGAGCCAGCGCTGTCCGAAGACATTTCCGTGGTCATGTGGCCGGCATGACTAAACACCAAGGCGCACGGAATGCTGTTACCTTTCCACTGAAGCGGTCCCTATTTATCTGCTTGCAATTTCTTGCTTTCCAACTGCTAGGTTGGCAGGAACTAGAGATGGGAGCTCACTCTAGGGGTCTCAAACTGCTGAACTAGGACCTTCCACAGCCTGCAATTCAGCTTTTCATGCCAGTTCCCCGTCAAGAAACACTTGACAGCCGCATTTCTCTCTTCCAGGACTGAAAAGCTTATCCCCCCCCCCTGACTTACTTGTGAGTAAACCTTTCCCGGCATCCGGCTGCAATGCTCTTTTGCTCCCACTGCAGATCTGGCGGAAGACCTCCTCCTTGGTCTCTTTGGCCAGGCCATTGCAAAGCCTCCACACCCC